TAGACGTGCTTAAATGTAATGGCCCCTCAAATGCTTTCGAATATCTTTTAATGAGCTATAACTTAAAATTAGCATTAAAGCAACCAACCCGCATAGCCAGTAGGACATGTATAGATAATTTTGCTTATAGTTTCAAAAAAGTGTGTAAAACTGACGTAATAGAACTAGCACTATCCGACCATACGGCACAGCTTCTTCACTGTCCAGTTCAATCAAAATTTCGTATAAATTATTGGTATACGGCAAAAAGAGATTATAGTATGGAAAATATATTGAAGTTTAAAAATCACATTAAAAGTCTATCCTTTGCTGAAATGTATGATACAGTCGAACCAAATCAAGCCTATAATAAATTTCTCGATTTATTTAAATTAATATATGACTTGTGTTTTCCAATGAAATTGATTAAGGTAGACATCTTAAAGAGACCTAAATGGTTATCGAAGGGAATCAAATTAGGTAGTAAAAAGAAAAGAAATCTTTTGTGGAAATACCGATTAAACCCAAACAAAATTAATAAAAATAACTTCACAACCTACTCTCGCTTGCATAAAAGAATTATACTTCTAACACAAAAGGCGCAAAATAATCATAAGATTAATGTATCTAAAAACAAGTCTAAAACTACGTGGCAAATTATCAATCGTGCTAAATATAACCTACCTAAATCTAATATTACTAAAATAATACACAATGAAAGCATTATTTCAGAACCTAAGGATATTGCTGAAGCTTTCAATAATTATTTTATCGACAGAGTACAAGGGAAACTCAATGTGACTAGTATACCGAAATACAACAAAATTGAAACCAATCATAAAACAATGTTTATGGCTCCTTGTATACCGCTAGACATAGAAAAAATCATAATCTCATTAAACAATACAAATAGTGTAGGATATGACGGTATTGCCACAAAAATAATAAAACAAGTGTCAAAGGAAATAAGCGGCCATTTAAGTTACATAATTAACCAAACTATTGACGCAGGCATATACCCCGATGCATTAAAAATATCTATAGTCAAGCCACTTTTTAAAAAAGAGAACAGGGAACGGATAGAAAACTACCGACCAATATCATTAATTCCGGTGTTTTCTAAAGTCTTTGAAAAGTATATTTATAGGGAACTATATAAATTCATAGATAAACAAGATCTCTTGTGTGAGGAACAGAAAGGATTTCGTGTAAATAGGACAATTAATATGGCGGTATATGATTTTGTACATAATATAATTAAAAATATTGATCAACGTAACCCTGTATGTGGTGTATTTTGTGACATGACCCAGGCATTTGATTATGTTCACTACCCTACTCTTTTAAAAAAGCTCGAAGCCTACGGGATTAGAGGCAATGTCCTTAGTCTATTAAGTTCATACCTACAAAATAATAGAAAACAAATAACTCAAATCAATAAGATTAACATAGAAACTAAGCATGATGAGATGTATCGGTCTTCAGAGCGTAAAGTATTATTTGGGGTACCACAGGGTAGCGTACTAGGCCCTTTAATGTTCATTTTATATATAAATGATCTACCAAAATCTATTGACCAACCAATAACACTCTTTGCAGATGATAGTACGATTACAATTCCTTGTAAAAATATAGTTACGTACGAGAGAGATATTAACAATAGTTTAAAACAAACAGTAGACTGGCTAGATGCAAATAATTTGAAGATAAATTTAAATAAGACGAAATTTATCCAATTTAGACAACAGACTGCTAGTATAAATTTGAAAGTACATAACAACAATAATACTATAGAAGAAGTTGAAAGTACAAAGTTTTTAGGTTTGCAAATAGATCAACAGTTGAATTGGAAATCACAAGTGGATAGTTTATGTAAGAGAATAAGTAAGTCTGCATATGCATTACATAGATTATCAACTATAGTCAACAGAAATGCACTTCTTACTGCCTACTATGGAACTGTAGAATCACATTTGAGGTATGGGATTATATTTTGGGGAAACTCTACTGAAAGAGAAACCGCTTTCAAAGCACAAAAAAAGTGCTTACGAGCGATGTTTAAGCTAAAATCTACAGATAGTTGTGAACCATACTTTAAAAATTACAAAATATTGACGTTGCCTAGTTTGTATATCCTGGAAGTAGCTGTGTTCGTGAAGACAAACCCTAGTCGTTTTAAATGCATGGCCGATGTATTTCCCCGCAACAGACGCGATAATAGTCTGCTATGTAAAGAGCCAGCTAAGACGGCACTTATGCGCAAGAGTGTCTACTGCATGGCTTCAGTTATTTATAATAGGATACCTAAGGGTTGGAAGGAGCTTCCGCTACATTTATTTAAAAAAAGATTCCGAAGCTTTTTAGTGGCTAAAGCATATTATAGTTTGCCTGAGTATCTGAATGAGAAGGATTTTTTTTTATAAGTGCTTGAATTGAAAACTGTGTTCCTAATTTATGGTCTTTTTTTTGTTTATGTTTTTTCTTTTTATTGGGTTGTTTGTCTTCAATTGTAACATATTATCCAATGCATTTTACTATGTATATCATTTGCATGCTTAAATGGTAAAATATGGCTGAACATGTATTTTTATGTCACCTGTAATTGTTACCCATATTTGCAAAATAAAAGTATCAAAAAAAAAAAAAAAAAAAATCAAAAAAAAATTTAACCAAATAGGTTTACTATAACCCGAAATAAATGATTTAATTAATAAATGAAATAAAAAGGCGTATACTAGTTTTTCATGGCTTTTCAGTTACTGTGAACCAAAGTTATAACTTACGGTTACGGTCAAAGTAACCCCAACTTAAGAAGACATAGATGTATGTAGGGTTGCATCGACTTTGCAATCTGAAGGTCATAATGATGTTATCAAAGGAACTGTAATAGAAGTGAAGTAGTTGTATTTTCTCGATTGCGGATCACGTGAGTTGATTACTGCGCAGTAGAGATCTATTGTGATTGATGTATTGACGCGGGCATTAGATTGAATGGCGCAACACAATTATAATTACATACTGAAACGGACATTACACAACATTGCGTAATCTTTACATATAGGTCTGAATGGTTGTAATTTGTAACGTAGTACAAAGGTTATAAGGCATATTTTTGGGCGGTTTTTTATGCAAGTCTTCCCATATTTGTCCTACGTGTTATTTTTGAGATGCAAGTCAAGCGTATTTTGTAGACATTTGTTAGTGAACGTTGATGGTTTTATTTTGGAAAAGGAATTTTGGAAAAGCTCAACGCAAAATGTATTAAAATTGTATCTCTAGTAGGTTTTTGAAGGTGGTCGTAAATTTGTTCAGCTGTTTGCGCTGCAGTAATATTAAACGATATTGTTCTACCTACAAAGAATCGAATGTTACTAAGAATCTCTTTTATATTGCTTTTTGCACTAGATAGTAACAATTTGTTTGCATTTTTAACGATTATTTAAGTATTGAAGCACAATTATTAGTTATGCTTTATCAAATAAAGACATTGTATTGTTTTGTTAATTCTTAACGGGTCTAAACCATGACATTATTAATGTAATATTAATTTTACTTTTAATCGCTCGTCGTGTAATTAGATGAAAGTAAAAAAATACTCTATAGATGTCGATATCTAAATTCATTTATAGAGTGGATAGATACAAAATCTATTAAACTCTTCATGGCATAGAGTATGTCTTGAATTATTATGTGTCAAACAGTGTGCACCTCACGCGACTGCGATTAGGACAAATAGTTTGTTTTTATGTATCGTTATTGTTTTGTCCGTATTTGTGCCTAATGAAAACTAGCAGCCAGTGTTTCTAAGTTAATAAATAACATATAGACTTCAAAAGTAGGTAATATTTACACAATGTTTTTCAATCTGGGTGCACAGCAGTGCCCTCGTCAAGCCGAGAAAAAAGTATCACGGCGCGGCCGTATCATCATTTTCTCGATTCAGTTGACAGGATCCTGTAGCTGATAGGTTTAGTTGGTGCTTCTATAGTAGTATTTTTAGTATTGAGACTCATGATTTCTTAAGGTGCGTCCAGATGATGCCCGCAAGCGACTTGCAATTTGCGAATGGTTCGCGAGCCACGCATTCGCCTAATGTGGACGCGCCGTATGAGAATCTGAGATTCATTTTAACATCAATTTTGAGTAGCGATCAAAAGTGTGTTAAAATAATCAAATGTTAATTCCTCCCACCTATTTAATCATGTGATATACTTAATTATTATTTTTGTGTAATTTGTGTCGAATCGTGTTCATTGTTCAGTGTTGCTTAGTATAATATTGTTCATGTATGAATGTTGTGTACCTAACTGTCACTGTTAACGTGGATTATGTAAATAAATTAATGAATAATTCTGAATACTAATATCACTATTATGTTATATGTTATAATAAATATGTATAGTTATTTTTTATACTTGTTGCTTTTATTTAAATATGTTCCTAAACTTCCTAGAGTTGCAATATTTCAAACGGTAATCAGCGAAATCATATCAAAACTTGTATTTCAACAAACTCTTCAACTCTTCAACCATTCACTCAGGAGGACAAACATATTACAGTCATTTAGTAACCTAATTTATACAAACTAAAAGCATGTTTATGAATAAAATAAAAATATTGAACTTTATCGACTGAAGAATTTCGAGAATAGATAAAACGTTAAACGGCTTAGTTTAACGTTTTATAAGAAAGATGGCGTTGTAAAATAGTAAGTTATTTGAAGGAACGCCATCTGTTGTTGAATAGTCAACTTATTTATTAACGCCATCTCTTGGCGAGTAGCCAAACTCTAGGTTTGTTTACAAGTTTTGATAACATGTTTGTTGACTTATATTATTTTTATTTTCATCAAAAAGAACGGATAACTTTTAATCTATTATTAATTTAAAATTCCTAATATGTGCATCACGGATATCTCTTTATATTATCAGTTATCAAGTGATCAGTAGAACAGTTCGGTTTCATTTATTATCCGCTGCGACAGTGGCGCCAATATTTTCCTTATATCAGGGTGTGTTTTCACGAATACTTCATTCTACCGCAAATCGTCCTAAGGTTAACATCCTATCCTAATCAATTCAGTGAACGTGACATTGAAGTGAAAGCCGGCATTTCCTGCTATCTACTGTCGTTTTCCCTGGAAAATTTTGAAATTATTTTATGTTTTTGTTGAAAAAGCATATTTTTTGTGAAATTTAAAATTAAAGTGAATATCAACAGTTGTTTATAGTTATCGATCGGAGAGCAATTTTCCACGATCGCACTCAGTTTTCGTTCTATCGAAGACGATATTTTACCAAAAACGTTAAAACCCAAGAATCACCGTCACTACCGCCGAGATGGCGTTCATGATGCCTGTTGTCAAGAACGACTGGGACATATACAACTCCCAGCGGAGTCGGCGGGTGTCCGAGTCAGCGGAGAAGGCGGGGCTCGGCCACGGCCGCGTCCGCAAGGTGTCGGAGTCGCGGTCCGAGGGCCCCGTGCTGTCGCCGCGCGCCCACACGCTGAGCCCGCACCGCAGCGCGCCCGCGATGCGCTCGCTGTCCTACTGCCGCGCGCCGCCGTCGCGCGCCTCGCTGCGCACCGCCAGCGACAGCCCCAGCAAGGGTTCGGCTAGCCCCAAGAGCGCCGTGCGCGAGGACAAGTTCCACAGCAGGTTGGTGGAGAAGTTGAAGCGGGCGCTCGGACGCTCGGAGTCGAAGCGCGAGGAGCGGAGCTCGTGAGTTAACGCGTGCTTGTGTGCAGGGCGCGCGCAGAGTCCCCGGAGCGGCACTCGCGCTGCGGAGCGTGCGTGCCCTACCTGTGACGGCCGGCCGCCGCAGCCGGCTCGTCCGCGGCGCCACACTATCTGTGATATGTTTCCGATAGTGCACACGCAAAGAGATGAGTAGACAATGATGAATGTGCTAACTAACCGCCTATGGTCTTTCGGACGCTGAGAACCTAACGTTTGAAGTTACACCGACACAATGCAATAGTTTTAGTTGTCATACTGTGAGTCGCTTTCCTTAACTGTTGCATGTTTGTTAGTTGTCATCGTACCGTATATCATATGAGCAGGTTGTCAGATTTAGGTTGTAAACATGAAAGTACGTTGTATGGATTTTAAGACTGCGTTTAGTTTAAGCACGCCCTGGGGTTCGATAAGTATTATTTGAAAAATCACCCCAGAGGTCACTAGAGGTTAGTTTGTGGCAGTTTGCGAAGGGTATCTGTGATTCGTTATTTGTAAGTAATGTGGTTTTATTTATTTAAGTTGAAGAGGAGATTGCATTCAGTTTTATTGTTTGTGAGAGTCCTTATTGTTTGACATAATTCTAATAACTACCACTTAGTATTTGTTTAGTTGGAATTTGTTTGATCAGAAATTGAATATCTTTGAGTTAATTTAAATTCTGCAGCTGCTCCATTAGGCAATTGGAAATGAATCGAAAACAGGTGAATTCAATACGGTAGAGAATGAGACATTTGTTATAATATTTGTACTGTAGTTGTAATAAGAGTACCTTTATATTAATGTACACGTACACGTAGTGCAAACTGTCGATATTGATAATTGTAAGCAGTGTTGTATTGTAGTCATCGATGTAATAATACAATGAAAATTTATTTATATATAGAACGGGGCTTGCCCTTGTTTTACAAACATTTTTGTTATGATTTCGCTTGATTTTATTATGATGTTATCTTGTGACTGCAATTGGACCAGCTTTGTTAATAGTATTATCTATCAGTGAAACTGAAGTCGATAATAGTGATATAAAGTAAGATGTATCATAAAATTCTAAAGTTAAGGCATATCTCGATGAGATTTTGATGAGGGCATCAAGGAGTGATGTATCGATGTGTTTATTTCGTTTGCTTGTCAAAGTTCCTTACGTCTGTTGACTGCCACCGGCAGTTACATGGGCCTATTTAAATTTTTAGATTTATGCTACTAGTTATTATACAATACCAAAATTTAATTCTTACATTATCATTGAATTGTTTGCAAACATTTTTAAATGCATGTATTGTCATTGTCAACGATGTCTGATCTGATGATTTTAAACACTTAAATATAAAGCTTATTCTGAGACATATGTTTTTATTTCTTCATTTCATACCCTTTCATCGTAATTCATTGCCATGTTTAACGGTTTTGTGTTATTATTTATGGCTACATTAGTAAACGAAGAGCGTCATAATAAGATATTGGCTCGCAATATTTGGCGCTCTCTGAAGAAAATAAAACAAGTACAGTACACAATTGGACACGTGTTCTGTCAACAAAAATAGAACATTTTAACGATGTGCGAGTATTAATGTAACTAGGAATGTCCGCAAGTTCGCATCGTCTGGCAGTCAAATTCTGATAATTGGCACTCGGAGAATTATAGAACATCTTAAAAACAAGACATTTGGTAACTGAATTCATGATGAGATTGATATAATTCTACATGTTTTGAATTCTCAATGAGGCCAAAATTATAGCACACACTCTTTAATCAGAAGAGGAATATTTTAAAAACTAGCTTTGCTTTACACCAAAATCTACAAAGTTTGTCAACACATTGGCCTTGACCTCATTTCCCCCTCGCTTCTATTCTACTCACAGAAAAAACCTTTTAAGTTCTACAAAAATACAACTTAAAGTTCCTAACAAGTCTCTAAGCTTGTAAAGAAAGTAAATCCTTTTATTAAGGCCAATTTCTTCACAAAAGGTACAATAAACGAATCTTTAACTTTACACATAAAAAACTTTAAATAAACAACCTGATTCACAATGTAACACAAGTCTGCACAGTTATAAAGATCTTAAGTATCAATTTCGCTCATTGAAGAACATGACACTCAATGTTCAATCCTGTGTTTTATTATTCCATACAACTTTCGTATAATAGGCAGTAAGCACCGCTTGGAATATTACCAGGGGTCTGATCAATAGCTCGACGGCTGACCATTCTCGAATATTCGACGCAGAGATGCAGGGAGCTGGTGACTGGGTACTAAATGGTTGCGCTTGAACGCTATCGTCTGGTTAATCGACATGTGCTTGGAATATTTTAACAACGGTACTGCGAAGATCGATAGGATAGTTTTATTGTTAAAAGACATACACAGTACATATGTGATTGTATTTATTGCATTATTGTTACACTCGATTGTAAAGCAGACGATATGTAAAAGGTACCTGACGTTGAAATTTGAGCGTAACCCCGAAGTGTTCTTATTATAAACTGCAAAAGCTTTTCGATATTTTCTAAAATACTAACAAGACGATCGTCTGGAAAAATCTTATTAAAATTCAATTTTTTTTTATGGTGCGAACGTTGACTACAAACTTACAAAAACTAACTAAAAGATTAGCTAAGGACACTACATAGAGATCAATTTTGAATGAGACGTTTTAGTTCATATGCAAATGCAATTTATTAGAGGGGAAGGGTTCAAGGGTTCAATAAGACTCAGTGTCGCAAATAAATCTTCTCGAATGTTCCGAAGTGGACTTAAGTATTTAGTACTCAAGTGTAACTAACCAATAGGCTTTTAACGCTAGTTATAGGAATTAGCATACTTCGTTAGCACTCTCATTTAAAGAACGATTTAAAATGTAAATAAATATGTACTTTTACGGATAGTAATTTATGACTTTGCCTATGTACTTAGCTACTTTGTGTTTGGTTTTGACCATAACTGGTGTGAATATTCCATAATTTTTAAACATTTGATTTTCTATTGAATTAGTGTCTTGGACTAAAAATTAAATTCCATGACATTTAATAAAATTGAGAAATGATTGCCTCGATGGCCGTGTGGTCACAAGTGCTGGGCAAGGGGTTCGATTCCCGGGTCGGGTAAAGTATTACTGGGTTTTAAATAAAATCTCAGTCGTAGCACAGAGTCTGGAATTGTGCCCGATATATAGCAATAGGCTCACTCCCTATTACATGGGACTCATAACATAAATTGTGAAAAGTGGGTGTTACATTGTACAGTGGCGTAATCTGCACCTCTGCCAACTCTTTCGGGGATAAAAGGCGTGATATTATATTATGTTGAAAAATGCATCGACAGAGTGTTTAAAATACGAGACAAAATATTGCTGAAACAAATACTGAACTTATGTTCTTATATAACTACGTTAGTTATATTTTAGCAGGATAGTTTAAATAGGTAATTAGTTTTATAAATTAGAAAGTATGAGTTGTGAAACTATGTAAAATGGTGAAACAATCTACCTTCATAACTAAAATTGAATGATTTGTTTAATAATTAAAAAGCAAAACAGAAATAATTATAATTTATTTTCTAAGTCCAACATGATTGTTTACTAAATAAGAAAAAACTGAATAAACTAATTTTTTTCGGTTATTTCACAACTTCACGTTACTGTTATTATTTCATAACTTCAATCGGATATTTTGATTCCTACCTAAAGTGCTAGACAATATATAGATTCCCGAACATCTATAAGGTACTCCAGATTCCCGAATTCCCGGATTCCCGAACATTTACAAGGAAAGATCTCCCATATAAAAATTTGGAAGAAAAGACACCTATTCTCTATTCAGGGATACCACGTGTAGGAAAAAGCCGTCCAGTTCCCAGGTATTATTTCATACTCTTTCATTGATAAACCACGTAACAAATTGTGACACGAGTACTCGTCATATTATGATAATATAACATAACAGATTAGGAACGTGTAACTAATATTATATTAATCTATATGTCTGGTATCTTACCATCTATAACTGTTCTGTAACCTAAATGTTCTTGCGTACTCACTGATTACGTTACGGAAAATTTTCCTTCATGATACTGAAGAATCAAGTGACAACTTAAATCGGTATATGTTCTTTTGTGTACAATCGTCAAAGTTGGCGTTTGAGTATCATTAGGATCGCCGATTCGCATGCACTCGCACTCGCAATGCACGGTTGGTGCGGTGCTAGGCAACCGGCTGCCGTGCAACGTGTCGCGGGTTTGATTCCCGCACGGAACAACACTTTGTGTGATCCACAAATTGTTGTTTCTGGTCTGGGTGTCATTGTGTATTTGAACTTGTATGTTTTAAACGCACCTACACGGTACAGGAGAAAATCCAAATGTGGGGCAACGTTTCTTAAAAAAATCAAATCACAATCAACTTAAATGGGTATGTATGTGTTCTTTTGATACCGACAAAGTTAGCGTTTGAGTATCATTCGGTGATATTCGCATGCACTCGGCGCGAGACCACTGGGAAAACGACCGGTGTTTAGATAGTGTGTTTGCCACAGGATTTCTTTAAAAAGTGTAGGTACTATGCTGTAAACATTCCCGATATTGTGAAATTATAATTTTTAATACTATGTAGTATCCAGTTCAGTTCATCTTTTAAGTCTAGCCTTTGCGACACATGTGTGTACTTAATTAAAAAAAAATCTAAACTATGTAATTAATATTTCATTTTGTTTACTTCTTCTTATGTAACTAAAGGATAATTTAATGTGAATTTTAGTACACTACAAATAATTAATACTTCGCAGTAAACATTGATTAATTGATTATGTGTGTAACTAAGTACATACTTAATATTTTAACTACCACTTAAAAGTAGATATTTCAAAATATTGTGTAATAGCTCCAGACATTTATTTGACACAAAATAAATTGAAAAACATCATTATCTTTATCAGATGTCTGTATTGTTCAATAGTACCTCTTTCCCAAGGACGTTTGAAAAATAGGTGGACGTAATTTTTTTTTATAGCATTAGCCGGTAAACGAGTATACGGATCACCTGATGGTAAACAATCGGCGCCGCCCATGGACACCCGAATCACCAAGGCGTTACAAGTGCGTTACCGGCCTTTTGGAAATTGGGAATTTGAGGATTGTGGAGGATTCGGGGATTCGGGAGACGGTCTACGCAAGCGTTGTTTCACGTCGGTTTTCTGGAGGCCGTGGTATCACTCCGGTCGAGCCGGCCTAGTCGTGCCGAAACATGGCTCTATCACACGTAATGTCACTTAGAAATGATTGAAGCACCAAAATGACACTACGTGCAACACCTTATGTGAAGTGTAATGACGGGGCATGTCAAGCGGCAGATGTCCTTCGTGTCAATGTGTGTGTATTCTGCGTGTAAGTCTATAGTAGCCAGGTGCCACAGTCGTTGTTTCAAGAGACTAAATCCGCCTTTTTCCGAGGTTCTTGCGTCTTTTCTATTTGTTAGATTTGTCCATGAGATTTATCACAACCTCCACACATCTTGTCAGGCTGCTTAGGAATCGTAGTTAGATCACCGAAATGTAGAGGGTGCTACTGCTGCCTTCGATAACTTATTACAATTCTAGGACATATTTGGAGATTAATGAAAAACGAAAGAATTTATTTTCCTAAAAAACAGCAATTCTAAAGAATTTGGGAGAGAAATAGCTTAGATCAATAAAACATTTGGTCTGAGAACACTAGAATGATGTTTCTTTAAGCCGACATAGACATACAAACAACTGATTTTATAGACAGAGCAACCTGTTCTATTTAGTAAGCTCCTCTAGTCATTATTAATTCTGTTTTCTTCCCAACCTCATTTATTTAACAACATTCTCAAGAGAATATAGCAATTTTCGTAAGCGAATGTAATTCGTGGAATTTTTCTTAAAGACCAGTAACAAATGGAATAATTAAGGAAATTGGAGCATATTTACTATTCCTGAAGCACCTTCGAGTATTCTTTATGGAACATTTTGTAGATTGTTATTATGCTAAACTGGACCTTAAAATTATGAGACAGAGGGATCGGAAAATGAATCTTAAATAAGTTTATTAAACGAGACATTATTTTATTTATTCCTTAATAAGAGTCGGGTCAATGTAGGGCGCCATTGTTTCTCATTATATAAATTAAATAAACAATATTTTGTACCATTAGACAAAAACTTAGTGAATAATGATACATATTACGAGTTTATTTTGTGACTGTTACATATATATTTTAGTGTTTTTAAAATTACGTAAAAGAATATATAAATACACAAGGGTTGAAAACACAATGAACCAACATTTTTTATGGAATCAATAATAACGTTTTCTGTCCACTTTATATCG